TCTTTCTTTCCCCCATCCACTGGCAAGGAAAAAAAGTTTTTCCTTGGTTTATATCAGATAGTTGTATTAAATATCACTTACCTAAATCCCATGCAACTGTAAACACCCATATTTTATTTGAAATTGCACCTAACATTTTATATCTCATATATATAAAACCCAGCTTTATACAGTAAATCCATAACTCTGCAAGATTCTTGGTTTTCCAGATTCATGGATCTTGTGTGACAAAACTAGGAATTTTCAAACTCTGGAACATTGCATTTTGGTACAAACATGTATTATTTGAATGTTATTCATAATTGTAGGAAGTATAACTTTTAATGTGTGTATGTGTATGCTTATGTGCACACATTATTATTAAAGTAAAGATAATTACAATATTTTAATAAAAATAGTACAGTGTGTGCAAGTTCTGTTGAGCATCTATTTAGAATTATTCTAAACAATTCATTATATAATTTAATCACTAAGTAGCATTATTGGTATGTATGGGATAAAGTAGAGGATTTTTAATGGCCAGTAACTAGTAAAAACTTTCCAGGCTGGAAAGATTTGTAAAATTAGGAGGCCACAGATGATATTCTGATGATTTAGAAATAAATACATCACAATGAACATTTTCAGAGACATTCATAGAGTTGCATTTGTTGCAGAAGTAATAGACATCATGATTGAAAACCTTTTCCTAATAAAAATGTGCTGCAAGGTAAGAGAATTAGTTCAAAGGACTCTTTTGTAACTCTCCGTCACAAAGAATCTGTTTTATTATGATAGCTGTCATCCTAGCAATCAAGTGACAGATTTTACTATGGGTTTTGAGATGTCCGTTAAATATAGTGCCTCCATTTTTTGAATGTTTTGAGTAGCCCACTGTGTAGCTACTGTTTGAAAAGTAACGTGTCACAGTGGGAGGTTGAAAGGGAATGGGCCTCCAGAAGCATTTAGTGCTTAATGGGTCTACTGCTGTAGTGAAGCAGTGTGCAGAAATAATTCTGATTAGGCTTGGTCAATCAAGCTACAAAATCAGACCTGACCCTTTTCCATTCAGCTCTAAAATACAGAAAACAATCATTGTTTAAAATACACATTTTAAAAGTCCTTGCACTTTTAGATAACACCATTTATTTTTTAACATCTTCTGGCTGATTCTTTATACCTCTGGATACTGTCAAATGTAGAAAGGATCAAATGGTTACATTCAGACAGGAGATTATTTCTTTCATTTGGGATTTCACTGAAAAAGGAATGAGTAAAGCTATGAAAATAGTAATTTTGAGAATTGAGTTGTGCATGTATTAAATACTAAATGTGAATAATGGAATAATGTTGCACTACATTTGTAGTGTAATAAATAACTAACTATTTACAGTTACATGACAGCTGGTACCAGTAAAACAGATGTTCAATTAAAAAGGAGTAAGTGAATGATGGGATTGTTGCATAATCATCATACATTCTTTTAGTGATAAGTATTTGCATAAAAGACAAGACTTGGCTGTTCAAACTTTTAAGAAATGGAAATTAAAAAGTTATGTTTTCAGATAAATACATCCTAGCTTTAGTAGTAGTGCAATATACATGTAGAGGGGGCATAGTTAAAATATCCCGACTGCTAAGTTTAAGAGCTCATGTGACTGTGGCCTCAGTTAAAGCACACTGATGGTATGCTTTGAAGTAGATTATATTATGTTAGTTGTGCCTTTGTGAAGCAAAATATTATTCTCATCAGGTCTTGAGAGCTACTTTGTTATTAGCGGAATTTATAAATAGTTATTGTTACAAACAAACACTATAATGAATGTTGACAGGATTATAGATACTGACTTGTAACATTAGGGGGCTGCGTCCCCTGCTTGCTACACTCACCGACTCCCTCTCTCTCTGGGGAAAGGTGTCTGGCCAGGGGGTGGGCAGTAGCAGGAGAGGGGTAGGAGTAGACTTGGGGTAGGTGTCTGGCCCGTGAGGAGGGTGCAGGAGTGGGCTGGAGATGCGGGGTCTCAGTGGAAGGCAGGTGTGAGGGGGTTGGGAGTGCAAGGTCTTGGCAGTATGGTGAGTGAGGAGGCTGGGGGCGCAAGGTTTTGGCAGAGTGGTGAGTGAGAGACTAGGAGTGAAGGGTCTCGGCTTGGGGGGGTATAAGCAACCGGGCTGGAGCCATGCTGGGAGCCTGCACTGGCGCTACAGTTTCATTCCTCCCCCACTGATACCTAGGGTTGACAAGTGTCCGGAATTGACCTGGACAGTCCGGCATTTTCACCTCCTGTCCAGTAAAAAAAATCAGAAAATACCGGACACCTAAAATGTCTGGTATTTTCTTTTTTTTTTCCTGACCAGGAGGCGAAAATACCTGACACATAGCAACCCTAGCATCCGGGCCCAGCTCCCGGCCTTCCCTCCGCCGCCCACTCCTGGACCCCATGCTTACCTGGTTCCGCAGGGAAGCTAAGTTCTGGCTTGAACAAGAACACAAAATGGCCACCAGCAAAAAGCCTAAAGGCCAAGGGGAAGCAATGCCTTAATGCTCAACCACTCTCCTGACTCTGCACTCACTCTGAAAGGGGCCATGCTGTTTTACTATTTAATTTTTTTTTTTTTTTTTTGCTTAATAAGTCTCGGAGTCCTTTTTCTTTTTTCCTCAACACTTTTGGTCTCCCCCCCTTCCCCCCCCCCACACACACTTTTTTTTCCTCAACAGAATTTTTTCCTTGGTGTTTTTTTTGGCGGGGGGTGTGTTCGGTATTTTTGGTTCGACCATCTGGCAACCTTATTGATACCCTGAACCCTACCCTTCTCACTCACTGCCCTGCTAAGACTTTTCATCCTCAGCTTCTTGACTCAGCAGCTCCAGCTCAGCCACCCTCAATCCCCCTGTGCTGATGCTCCAGCCTCGTCTTCCACCCCCTCGCGAGGTTGTAGTGCCTGCTTCCTTCAGGGGGGAGAAAGCCCTGTTGCTCCCTGTGTTCTTCTGCTTACCCATTTCAGGCCGCATCCCTGAGCCGGCTCCGTGCAGGCTGGCCCTGGGCTCTGTCCAATACCTTCAGGTCCAGGTGACTCTGGCATAACGGCACAGCAGGCAGCTGCAGCGGTCCAGGAGTGGGGCAGAGATCATGGCCCTGCTAGTACCCGACTCTGTGCTGGGGCTGCAGGGAGGCCATCAGGGGCAGCAACGGCAGCCCGGAGGAGGAGCTGGGACAGCCTCCGGCCTGCTGCTGGGGATAGGATTGCCAGATGGTTCCCCCCCAAAATACCAGACATGCGGTATTTTGGTCAAGCGAAAAAAAACCCCAACCCCCAACGTGGGCTAAAAAAAGGATAATAAGTACTACCTCTCCCAGCCACTCTCCCCGCCCCTTCTGATGGGCCCAGACCGGCAATCGTTAGATTTTCTTCGCTGCAAATATCACATGCAGTGAGCTTTTCAAAGGTGGAGCTGTTCTTCCCCTTGCTATTGATTGGCAGGTCTGGTCTGCCTCCTAGATGGTTTATAGCAGAGACTGAAAAACCATTTTCTTAGGCTTTGTCTGCGCTACCAAGTTTTGTTACCACAACTAGGGTTGTCAGATGGTCTCCCAAAAAATACCGGACATCCGGTATTTTTTGCTCGGGGTGGGGGGGAATAAAAACCGTGGGATAAGTGGCGATCACAACCAGCTGGGAGGTGGGGCCGCAAACGCTGCTGGGAGCCTGTGATTGCGCAGAAGCCTGGTGGGGGCAGGGGAGTCCCAGCCACTCCCTCTGCCCTCGCCAGGCTTCTGCGCAATCACAGACTCCTAGCGCCGATCGTTGCCCCGCCTTCCAGCTGCTTCCCCCGCCCATGCCTGGCTTCCGTCCAGTGCGCAGCCGGAAAAATCAGAGAATACCGGACATTGCACATGCATATTCTCTGATTTTTTTTACTGGACAAAGAGCGCAAATATCGGACTGTCCAGTAGAATACCAGACACCTGGCAACCCTAGTGGGGAGGGGAGCCTGGCTGCAGCACCAGGATGGGCTTATCCTGCCTCTGGGGATGACTGTGAGGCTGAGCCCCCAGGATGGGGTGACCTTAGATCTGGGGAGGACTGGGGCTGAGCCTTTGGTCCCCTCTCTACAGTCTTCTGCTGGACTGGTGCTGGTGGTGATGGCCTAAGATGACTCTGCCTGTGGGGAACTATGCAAGGGCCAGAGGAGCTACTTGGAGATGCGGGCGGGGTGACGCTGGTGAGTGTTGACATTATTGTTGTCCCGCAGGAAAAGAAGTTTTATATGAGAATAGCAAAAGCCATGAAGTTTTTAGCTGAAATTCTCTGCAGCTTGCATTTGGGTGCTGTTTCAGGAAAGAGATAAGTGTATTTAAACCAACATTTCAGATGTTCCATGTTTCTGAGGAATTATAAAGCTTGAAAAAGAATTACTGGTACCTACATTTCCTCAAGGTAATTGCTTGAAAAGCAAGGGTGATTCAGGGATTCATGAGAAGTGACAAACCGTGGCTGCCAACACTATGTATGGTGGAGTCACCTTTTCTGAGCTTTCTTGATTTGTTTTCCAGTACTCAAATCCCATTTGTCATAGTAAATAGCAAGGTTTTGTGAGGATCCATATCTCATGCATGGTGAACAGAAAATTGAGAGCTACTCCATTTGGCAATTCATACAGCAGAATGCAAGGGCAAAATGAAAGCAGGTCTCTGAATTAAGAGAAGCAAATAATCATCATTTGCTTAGGGGGAAAATACTTCCTGGGGGCAGATCTGGATGGAAATTCTTGTTGACTTAACTGGTTTTAGTATTTATGTACCATACTATGTAAAATCAGGAGGAGTTGAGAGATTCAGTTTTTTAGATAGACTGTCAGTTAGTGTTTAACCCTCCCTCCTCCTACCTCCAAGCAATGCACATCATTTTACTAAAGGTTCAAGCAACTAAGCAGATTTTTGCTTGCTTTTAAATAAATACAGGGGAAATGTTTAACCCCTATTGTATTGACACAAAGCCTGTGCTGATCACACAGTGAAGCCTGGGAGGTCCAAATACAATGTGATTGGCTGTTTAAAACAGCCTTCTTTTTGTACATGTTCCTGTCCACAGATCAGCAACAGCAGGATTCAGCAGCACACAGTTTTGTCAGCAGGATTACAACGTGAGGGGGAAAGTTTTACCAACTTACCATTTTCTAATAAGAAAATGGAAGGAGACGAATAATTACATCTGTACGGTAATATTCTGCAACTATCTTTTTGTATACTCATTTGTTCTCCTCTTTGATGTTCAGTTTATTAAGATAGATTTGTGCATCTAATAACTATATCAGCTAGTTTGGTTTATTTAAAAACTGAGATATGTAAGGAAGTTGAGTTTATGGCTCTCTGGATCTCTTTTGTGGCGTTTTTTATATTTGATTAGTGTGGTTAAATGTAGAATTTGAAATCATCATCACTCTAACTTTATTGTGTAGAATGGTTTGAATTGTGGATAGGGACACCAGATGTTATTGCATATGGTATGTGGGGAAATAGATTCATTATTTTAATGCTTATATCATGTGGCATATAACTGTTTCTGAGCTTTCATAAATTTATTTTGTTTTATTAAAAGATATTACAGTATGCTTTTAAGATAAAAATAAAGTTATTACTTTAAAATGAGTTTGGGGGAATTCCTTGCTTATTCTTTGAGAATAAATTTTTGAGGAGGATCTAAGTGACAGAATACTATGTGTACACAGGAAGATAAAGTGTTATCACTCATTGATTCATCTGCTCCTGTGTCATTAAACAGAGAGGAGCATATTGACTCCTCTTTAATCACTGACATGTAACACTCTGTGATAAAAACCCCTATAATGGCTGTCAGACTTTTGTATAGAACCCTCTTTTGAAAATACCTGGGGAAAAATTCCTGTCAAAAAAATGAATTTTGGTTTTTGAAATATCAGTGACCACAGTGCAGTATAGGATGCTGGGTTTAGTCAAAGAAATCCTGCTCTATAAAATCTGTACTAGTAAATCACAGAGAAGTGTGATTACTTGCACACTTCAAAGCAGAGCAAAATACCTTTTAAAAACAAATTAACAATTTTAATCTGTCTCATGTTTACTGCACATTCAGATCCAGCTAAGCAAAGCCGAATGTCATATTTTAAGACCTTTCCCTCACTGATTTTTATCTATGCCTTTTTCACATGCACTTGAATCAGTTGAGACCTTGATTTTTTCCCCCTTTCTCTGTAGATTGGATCTTTAAAAAAGTTTGAGCTTTGTGTGTGTGTGTGTGGGAGGAGAAATTGAAAGGAAATTCAAATAGATATGTTGTGCTGTATCTTAGTCTTGCAGATCAAATCTCCATGAGCTGATAGTAAAATAACTGAAGTGACATTGGGTTTATCTAGGGTACTGTGTTCTCTGTCAGTTACATTAGAATCTAATTTATATAATAAATGAGAAGCAAGCAGTTTTTTAATTGTTCTGAGTGTTTAGGAAGTCTGTTTGGCCAGCTCATCTTTCATATATTTAGATCATATTTTCACTTAAGTACCAGCTACCCTTAATAACAGACTTTCATGTGCAACAGTTTACCATCTGGCTTGTCTGCTATGCCTAGCTTTGAAGTCTGTCTTGTTCCAAGAACCAAAAGTATTGATTTGGTTATTATGTTAATACATTCTTTGCAAATAGACTACTGAAAGTTGGAAAAAATATATTTAAAAAGTTACTAACATTATAAATGCCATATAGTAGCCTTAAACTAAGCTATCACACTTCATTGTTACCACATGTAATTGAATGGGGAGCATACTTTGTGGTATTTGAGTGTCTGGAAAGTCCAAGATATACACCTTAACACACTTAAAACCATCTTCACCAAAAAAGGACACTCCACCAGAGAAGTAGATTGCATCATGGAATTGGCCACGCAGATACCCCAAGAGAACTTGCTTTCATACAGAAATTAAACTGCACACTCAAGGGGGGGTATCACAAAACAACAATGGCCAATACTTGACGGGGACCCCATCCTGAAGAAAATATTTCCTAAATCCCCAATTCTGGCATTCAAACAACCATCAGTCTCTCCTACTTCAGCAGCAGAAGCAACCAACTCACAGCAGCACCAGACTCTGCCCACACATATCCACTGCTATCCTGATCAACTCTCCCACAACATAGCTTTCAAGATCCATGGGTCTTACACACACCTATCACAACACCTCACCCAGTGTGCTAAATGCCCCAACACTTACTATATGGGTGAAACCAGACAATCACAATGCTTTTAAATAAACTCTCATAGGAAAATGATAAAAGATAAAAACACCCTAACAACTGTCGGTGAACAGTTTCACAAAACGATTCCTGCATATCTAATCTACCTGTTATGCTAAACAATCTGTCCCACCTTGTGTTTTGGTGTAACTCTCAAAGCACCTTTTTTAGATCTGAAGAGTTCTGAGGGGGTCAAAACCTCAACTCTCTCATCAACAGAAGTTGATGCAATAAAACATAGTACTTCATCCACATTGACTATCTTAAACAAAAGTGATATTTGAACTTTAGAATCTAGAGAGCCAATTTATTATTCAGCTAAATTGTAGAGTGCTATAAACTAATTGTGATTTGACATCCAACTCCTAACATCATATTGTTATGTTTATCTGGTTCTTTTATGAAAGAATATTTATTCCTCGAAAGACACCTTAAGAATTAAATGTTCACAACTATATAACTTTATATTAAACTGAAGAAAGTTTAACTGTAGCTGAAATGGCCAGCTATATGAGTAACAGGCTAGCTCCTGTGTAAAGTTATGTATTTTAGAAGATACAAGTAAGTGGGACTTTAAAGGAAAATTAATAAATTCAGAGTGCCACATATATCACGGTTAACATTAATGACTGTCTGAAGATGGAGTGTTAGAAAAAATAATTACTTGCATTATTATTCCCTATCATTTTCATCCACTTCTAAATACCACAACAGCCATTTTAAAAATAAGCTATCTTAATAAAACCAACTTTGGCTGTAGGCCTCAGGAAATTTAATATTTTTTAATATTGACAGTTTTTCTTTTTTATTAATGAAATGATCAGAGAATGGTTATGCAAGGCTAGATCATGTGTTGGTTAATTATAGTATTTATGTATCTACCTTATGTCATCATGAATTAACCAATTTACATAAAATGCACCAAGAGCATGGTGCCATGAAAAATGAAGGAATGCTGTTTTGCATTGAGATAAATACATCACTTCAACCTGTTCTGAATGTGGAGTAAGAAGAAAAAGTTTAATCCAGCAATCTGTTCAGAAGGGTCTTCTGTTCTTCAGGTATCTCAAAAAAGTTTCTCGTCCTTAAGATGGAATAACTTTCCACTTCAGATGTAGAGTCATTAGACCAATGGACTGAAATAAGTAGATCTGCCCATGTATCACATTTAGAGACAGGGATGTTAGATAGCGTGTAATTGAATAATCGTGTAACTACATGAAACTTTATCAGTTACACAACTATTTGATAGTCCCCCAGGGGCCAGGGCCAGCAGTCTGTGCAGTCCTGGCCCCACTTCTGGAGAGCCTCCTACCACCTTGTGCTGCTACCTCTGTAAAAGAGGCAGCAGTATGGGGTGGCAGGTGAGGGCCAGTCCGCAAGGGGAGCTGGTATAAAAGCAGGCTCCCTGTGCAGACAGGCACCTGCCTGCTGCCCTGCACTGCTGTCTGTGATCCAGAGGGCATAGCATAGTGCATCAGCAGCCCCTGTCTGCAGGGGGCCTGAGCTCCCTGTGGACAGAAGTTGTGCCAGCATCCCATAGAGCAGCCTCTGCCCACTGCAAACCCAGGTCAAGCCACAGACAGAGGCTGATCTGCAGTAGCCCCCCCAGCCCTGCGCTACTGCCTCTGACAGAGGTAGCAGCATGTGGGGGGAGGAAGAGGGAGAGGCAGAACTGGTGCTCGGGGAGAGCTGACTTTTAAGGCTTCTGCCTGCACCCTTACCCCACCGCTACCTCTGCCTTCAGAGCTGGGTGTCTGGAGAGCAGCGGCTGGTGGCCAGGTACCCAGCTCTGAAGGTAGCACCCTGGAAACAATGCACTTCCCCAGAATCTTCGTATTCAGGACTTATATCCTCCTTAGCCTCATAGTCGTGATCAGAAGGCTTATAAGAGCAAGATGTCAGGGGCCAGACCAGCTAGGACTTAGTTGCTAAGCAACTAGAAATCCTAGCTTCATTGTTTTGGAGCTGACAGAATAGCTGCTGCCCCTGACTGTCTGCTGGTTTAGCAGACCTGCTTATGAAGCGGCACCTTTTCCTTCACAACAGATCCACTGCAGCCATAGGCTCAGAAAGTGAGGGCAAGGTGGGTACTGCAGCACCCTCCAGTTTTTGCACCCCACATCAGGGTACCAGCCACCTATCCTGCTTCTTTGGACAGATTGCGCAAGGTATGCCTTTCCTGCTATCACACTTCCTTGAGTATTGTGGAAGATTTGACAAGGCAGAGCACATGCCATTTTCATTGCACCAAGATGACCCAGGCAGTTCCCAGTTCTTCTCCATATGTCAACCTGACTGCCAATTAGCATTAATTCCTTTCTAGATCTCTTGACTCAAGAGAACAGCAAGATCAGACATCTCAATATGGAAACTTGCCTCACAACTTGGTATTTGGACATATTAGACTAAGACTATTCCTATTCCCAGAATGTGCAAGTCATCTTTACTAAAAGTAGAAAGGCCTCAGAGAGAAAATGTTACCTTGCCAAACATAAGCACACTCTATCTGGGCCCAGTGGTATGCAGTATATCTCCTGAGTCAATGGGTATCCCTAATATCTTAAACAACTTTCTTATCCTTGAGGAGTTGGGCCTCTTCCTTTGTTTAGTACAGGTTCACCCAAATGCAGGCAACGTGTTACCATCCATCCGATGGCTATTATATCTTTACTCATACTCACCCAATTACCCCCCAGATATTTAAAGGGCTGAATTACAGTTTTCCTGACAGTAGTGAAATCACCTCTTAATGGAAGTTTAATTCAGTGTTTTCACCACTCACCAAGTCACACTTTGAAACTCTGGTTACCTGTTTGTCTCACCTATCTATGAAAATTGCCTTCCCCATTGCCATCAACTCACCCGGACAGACACATGAGGTATCTAGTGCCTACTGGCAAATGTTCCTTGCACTTCATTTTGTAAAAATAATGTCTCACTATGACTGTGC